GCATGTGTGCTACCCGGCCCTGTCGACTATCGTCTGACCGGTCCGGCCCGTCCGGCGGCCAAGCCACACCGAGAGTAGCTGCGGCCACACACCGGTATCTTGTCCCCGGGCCGGAAGTTCATGCTGGCCAGGTCACGCGAGTACAGCGCCGGCGGCAGGGCCGGCGCGGGGCCCGGAGCTGGGACCGGGGCTAGAGCTGGAGCCGGAGCTGGAACTGAAACCGGGACCGGGACCGGAGCCGGAGCCGGAGCCGGAGCCACAGGCGCCGCGGGAACAGCCGCTGCGAATGAAAGGACGCTGATCAACGCTCGTCTCTACTGCGGTGGCTGCCGTTATTGGGAGCTGGTGTCATGGGAACGATGGACAAAAATACTAAAACGATTCCAACACGTGGGGGGTAAAGTTTGATGACACCCATATGTAGGGCCTATTACATGCGAATTCGACACGCAACGCGATCGAATTACAACATGCTATCTGAGAAGACTGTGCAATATAGTCACTGCCGCGAATTCGAGCATACGCGAGATGATGCGATGATGCGACGATGCGACCCGATGCGTGCTACATACACACGCATCGCATCCTCCACGCGCAGTGACGCATATGCCAGCGGCAGAGTAAGTAGCCCGCCAGAGCCTTCAACCCAGATCAAAGGGCGTCGGTGGGTGCTGCATAGATGGCCGCACGATTTGAAATTCACGTCCTTCACCAGCGCTAGAACCGTTTTTACATTCACGCAGGCTCCACTCCCATGAAGCCGGGCAAACGGGCCGAGCATATAGCGGCTGAATCGACGACGTCGCTCGATGTGAGGTCGCTTAAATAGAGTGCTCCACATTTGTGTGACGTTTTGAACTAAAATAGCCATCTTGAAGATCATTCGGCGCAGTCTGCAGCCCTGCCCTTCTTAAATCCTGAACCCCTCGAGTTTGTGCGCAACACGTCCGCGACAATGTGCAAATCATTTTGGGCGAGACTATTTCAGGGTCAACCAGGCATTCATGACGCCATGATATTGCCATTGAAATTCTGCCTTTCAATTGGCCATGCTACGATCGATGTCAAGCAAAACAATTATCCAGCTGTTCATATCTGGCGTTCGTGAGTACGATCTCCATATATAACGGTCGTCTATTGGCTCCCAATATTGTACAAGGTACGATGACGCAATCAATCAATGATGTATTGAGGAGCATATTTACTACACAGCGAAATTGCCTTGTCCGGGGCAGCCTTTTCTACTTGTAATACAACAATAACTATAAGTGAGCTAGTTTCATCCCATCATGTCATGTTTGCTTCAATATCTTAAAATGTGGAACATTCCCTTTAATCGACGCATACGCTGACGCTGACGTTAATCCTAACCGTATCGTTATCCACGCTGACGTTATCCTAACCGTATCGTTATCCATGCTGACGTCATCCCATCTGTATCGTTATCCGCGCTGACGTTATCCTAACCGTATCGTTATCCGCGCTGACGTTATCCTAACCGTATCGTTATCCACGCTGACGTTATCTTAGCCGTATCGGTATCCACGCTGACGTCATCCCATCCGTATCGTTACCCACGCTGACGTGATCCTATGTGTATCGTTATCCACGCTGACGTTATCTTAGCCGTATCGTTATCCACGCTGACGTTAGCCTAACCTCGCAGCACAGTGGCGCGCCCGGGAATGGAGATGATGCTTACCGGCTGCCAGCCGACTCTTCATTTTCTCGTTGAAGCAGAAGGCGTTGGTGTCGCTGAGGCGATGAAGCAGAGCCTGCGGCACGCCGTCCAACTCTGGCCGCTGTGGGGAGCGCGTCACACTCAGACTGACCGCCATCAGAGACAGACACCAGCACACAACACCAGCATCGGCCAGAGTGTCGCCCGTCCGGCTCTGGCCGCTGTGGGAAGCGCGTCACACTCAGACTGACCGCCACCAGCGACAGACCCAGCACACCCCAGCATCGGCCAGAGTGTCGCCGTCCAGCTCTGGCCGCTGTGGGAAGCGCGTCACACTCAGACTGACCGCCACCAGCGACAGACACCAGCACACCCCAGCATCGGCCAGAGCGTCGCCGTCCGGCTCTGGCCGCTGTGGGAGCGCGCCACATCAGACTGACCACCACCAGAGAACACACCATCACACCCCAGCAACGGCAAGGGCGTCGCTGTTCCAGCTCTGGCCGCTTGGGGAGCGCGTCACACTCAGACTGACCGCCACCAGCGACAGACAACCAGCACACAACACCGGCATCGGCCCGAGCGTCGCTGTCCAGCTTCTGGCCGCTGTGGGGAGCACGTCACACTCAGACTGACCGCCACCAGAGACAGACACCGGCACGCCCCAGCATCGGCACGAGCGTCCCCGCCGAGCTCTGGCCGCTGTGGGAAGCGCGTCACACTCAGACTGACCGCCACCAGAGACAGACACCGGCACACCCCAGCATCGGCCCGAGCGTCGCCGTCGAGCTCTGGCCGCTGGCGGACATGGCCATGTTCAGACTACGCGATAGAGGCAACAGCTAACTATGACGTCACAGATCGCCATCGACGGACATTTACGTCACGATGCTGCAACGCCCCGGTCACAACTCGTTTGTTTCAGCAGGCAACGCGACACACATCAAATTCAACTGCAGCCAGAGGGCGACTAATTTTTCAGGGAGACAATGCTGCCCTCTTCGGACGGTCATCATCATCATTAAAGACCGCGCCAACTGGCCATACTGTTATACGGAGCCGATGGACTGGTTGAAGAGCCGTACCTGCTCCAGAAGAAAGAAACTGCACATTGATCAGCTTGCCCCTGTAGAACTCCAGCTGTCGTCGGGCACGCATCTTTAGGAATATCATACAGGCCAAACTCCAGTCCCAAGGCTTTCTCCTGCCGGTGGGAACAAAACGTGGATTACTCTCCGGTTCACGCCCCGGCGTTGTCATAACCTACATGATGCTTCAAGTAACCATCGATGGGGCGCAACATGGACCTCAGCAGCCGGCCGGCCCTAAAACCCCACTTAACAACAACCATCGATTGCATGGTCTTTTAACTGATGTTTACCTATTACATAAGGCAATGGTAGCTCGGGGAGGGTCAGATCATCATTGAAGACATTTCTGCAGTAAAAGTAAGGGTGAGCAGTGTACTATGTCTGCCTGGCAGCTCGCGTCTCGGCAATGGCCTACCCCGACAGATCGCATCATTCAGCCATCCGTTTGGCAAAGTGAACCACAGCATAAAGCCGCGCGGAATCAGTCTGGTGCCAGGCGTAAGCCTGCTCCCTGGAACGACCACTTCACAGCTTCCAGCACACAACCCGCAGTCCCGTGCACTCCGGCCATCGGCGCTCCCGCCAGTCATCGGCGCTCCCACCACTCCCACCTGGGCGAACGAAGCGTCGAGCGGCCGCACGTCGGCCGGCAGCCTGCCATCAGCACCGCCGGCCATCGGCGCTCCCACCACTCCCACCTGGGCGAACGAAGTGTCGAGCGGCCGCACGTCGGCCGGCTCAGCCTGCCATCAGCACCGCCGGCCATCGGCGCTCCCACCACTCCCACCTGGGCGAACGAAGTGTCGAGCGGCCGCACGTCGGCCAGCTCAGCCTCCACGGTCACCGCCCAGTCGACGAGGCGTAGCTTGAGGCGCGGGCCGCGTGCGTCGCAGCACGGCGCGCCGCCAGGCGGCCGGCAGCGAGACGGCCTGGCAGTGGAGCGCCAGCAGCGCGCCCGTCGGCGGCACCGAGGCCGGCGCGGCGCCTGTCGGGGAAGGGGGCGGGGGCGGGTTAATCGGCACGTTCCGGCACTACAACGGGCGAAGCGTACATCTGCCCCAGATCTGAGAAAGTCAGAGCTGGGAACAGCGTTACCGACCAGACACGGGATGCCAAAGTACTTTGCCTGCCAAAGTAGCCTGTTATTGAGGAAGCCCACGCTACCACTGTCGCGGGCGGCAGCAGAGGACGACGTCACGCCTACCTGCGGCGCAGAAGGCTTGCAGGCGGGCCGCCATGGCGAGGTAGGGCCGGTGGTGGGCCGGGTCCTGCAGCTGGACCGACACGCGCTGCGGATGCTCCAGCGCCGTCGGCAGCACGATGTACTGCCGGTGCGGCTCCAGCCGCACCGCCGGCACCGGAACCAATGCCGGCTGCACCACCGCCGGCTGCGGGACCTGGAGGCAGTCGTCAGTCCAGCCCAGTTCAGCAGCCGCAAACCTTCGGGTGGATCCATGGCAAGCATCACCCAGTACAAGTACGCCGAAAATAATCGAGACCGTTAAAAGCACTCCCACCCATGAAATGTGACCCTGGAGTTGCAAATTTAAGGCCAGCGACAGCGTCAGATGCCGTGGGCGACCGCGCGCCCCGGGCCGACCGAGCGAACGGAGAGTCTCACCGGCTGCGGTGCCGCGCCCGCCGGCTCGGCCGGCAGCTGGTCCAGCAGTCGGCGGCATGACAGCAGGCGCACAGGCACCGCGAGACCGGCGGCCGTGCGCGCCTCGGCCTCCACCTCCCCGGCCGCCGCCGGCTGCCGTACCGTTCAGCACCAGCGGCGCGTCCACCTGCGCCAGCAGCGTGTCGCGCGCGCCCGCCGGCGCCGCCGCCGCCAGGCGGACGCAGAGCGCCACCGGCGGCAGCCGCTCCAGCGACCAGCGGGCGGGCAGTGGACGCACCGGCGCCGCCGCCGCCACCCCCAGCGTGCCGGAGTCGACGAACAGCAGTCTGCCGGGACGGCGGCAGGTCAACGGCCCAGCGGAACATGTCGCGGAGACAACAGAACGCAACAGACACATCACCGCTACATCACTCTAGTTGGTATGTTCCGCTGGTGATGTTGACACTAGCACCTGGGTGCGCCCGCACACCGACAGCCCAAGTCCCTGACGTGAACAGTCTAATGAGGTGGCCGCCGAGCCTGCGTCTAGCCGGAAGCCGACGTGCTGCCGTCGGGCGGTCCCGCGTGAGACGTGGCTGCGCCTCACCTGTAACCGCTGGGGCCGGCGGCGCAGACCAGCGCCCGGGACGGACTGCCCTCCTCCAGGGCCACGACCACGTCACCGGGCTGCGCACTGCCAGGGAACATGTATGACAATCATCAGCTAGGCCGCCTCTGTTGTACATGAAACCGGGTAGGCGTCTGTACTCGCGGGTTGTTTCCACATTATGCCCGCCACTGCTTTACGGAGCAGACATGTCGTTACCAGAGGAGCATGCTGGTGGTAGCACCAGCGAACCGTCTATCAAGACCACGCCAATTCTCAATCTGCTCGTCGCCTCCGGTCCTTCCCCTCCCCCTCCCACGAGGCCAGCGAAACGGCGCCCGCCCCTGGCATCCGGCGGCCACTGACCTGACCGTCGGCTGCTGGGGCAGCTGCTCCAGGTCTGTGACGCACTCGATGAACTGCTCGTTCAGCACAACTGCTGCCAGCGCATCGGCGGCCAGGGGGCAGGACGGAACGACTCCAGGGGTCGCCGTGGCCACCAGCTGCGCCAGTTGGCGGGCAGCCGGCCGGCCAGCCACGCCGGAGAGCCCTTCGTCGGGGCCCGGTGTCACCGGCGGGCGGGCGGCGGGCGGCGTGGCTACCGCCGGACAGCCTCCGCGCCGCAGCAGCTGACGAAGGAGGTACGTTGGCTGGATCCGCTGGCGCCGGGTCGGGTGCGGATAAGAGCCGGCGCCGCCACCCAGCGGTCTGAGCAGCAGAAGCGGCAGCGGGAGGAACGGCCGGAGCCGCAGTCGTAGCCACGGCGGGACGAGCCGGAGCCACAACGGGCGGAGCCGTGGCCGCCAGCGGGTCCCGGCCGGCCTCATCCTGCAGCGTCACGGTACGTCGCGCCGTCACGGCCGGTGATACGCGCACCGTCAGCAGGCGCTGCACGAGGCGGCGGGCTGCCGCGCTGCTCGTCGCTCCAGCCGGGCGCCTGCCTCGCCATCCAGCCGGCCACTCACCGCCTGCGCGGCCAGCGGCGAACCGCGCCCCATCGCCCCGACCCCCGCCGGCAGCCCTCCGTTTTGCCCCAGTCTCCCCCACCTGTGGTGGCCGGCGAACGCGGCCAGCACCTCACCGCGGTACCTGTCGCCACGGCAGACGCGATCATCACGAGCACGGGGCATGCTGTCGCGCGCTCCGAGACACTGAAGCTGTAGGGTTACTTGGGCACCGACGGAAGAGAGGCGGCAATCGCTGCTCCGTTCATCCGTGTCGAGGGAGGCACGGCGGCGCGGATCGCCAGGGTCAGTGTGATGATGATTTTGGCTTTCTATGTGACACAAGGAGCATATTCACTGGCGCTCTCACAGCCACAGGAGCGCACGCTTCCATCGCGGATCCTGTGCGTTGCAGTGGTTCTCACCAGGCACCCTCGAACAGGCCGGCGCACAGGCCTCCGGGTGGCGGCGGCGCCTGGCCGCCGGTGGACGTTTCCTGCTGCAGCTGGCGCTCCATTCCGTCCGTGGCCGCCAGCTTGTCCTGCAGCCGGAGGTAGACGGTGCCGGCGTCCTCCACATGAGACACCGCCCACCTGGGACCGCAGGCCACGGGGAACGTTAGACGGTCACCAGAAAGACAGCAACGGTCGGCTTCTTGTAAGGTCATAAGGGTCGCCTTTAAAGAGCCAACTGCTGATACTAACCACCGCGTAACTGGGCATAATGCCCGTGGTGACGCGTACATAATTTCCCTCTACCTCTACCCAAGCAGGTGGGAAATTCAAACAAACTGCCAGCCACGCCTTACCAGCCCACACAGCAGGCCTCGGCGCATGTTCGACTGCTACCAGAGCCTGCCTCTGCAGCTCCTATCCGTCTCACCTGGTAGGTCTGGCCAGGCAGCAACGACACGACGTCTTGACTAGGCGCGGGAGGCAGAGACACAGATGGGCACAGGCGCAGGCGCAGGGTCAGGCCTGGGCGAGGGTAGTAGACCGCCGCCGTCGCCGGCGACGGGAGCGGCGGAGGATAGCGGCGTTGACGGGCCGGTTTGTCGGCAGTAGGCCACGGGACGGCGCGCCGGCAGGCCGTGCCGCCACCACCTCCTGAGACCTGATCTGCGTCAGCACCGGCATTAGCGGGCGGCGAGCGGTGTGGCGGCGAGGCACAGCGTCTGGTTCGACGGCCGGCGCGCGAGCTTGCCGCCGACGGCGAGCGGGCGGGCGGCTCCTGGTCGCCGAGGCAGCGGCGAGCGACCGGCGTCGCCGCCGCCGTGGTGGCCGGCCCCGCGCGCCCGCCCGCGGAAGCCGGCCCGCCCCCGGCCGCCGCCGCCGCCCGTCGGCCACTGACTCTGGCCTCCCGACTGGTAGCCGTCTTGGAGCCGGTAGCCCTGGTCCACGATGGGCCGCGCGGCCGCCGCAGCCGCCGCGCGACGCGCCCTGGCCGCGGGCGGTGTGCGGACCGTCGCCGCCAGCCGTCACCACCAGTGACGGCAACTCTGGCTCCCTGCGGCGCGCGGACACGGCCGTAGTGACGTACAATCCACTGGGGTTAAGTCACCGGGGCACGGCCACAGCAAAACTTCACAGCAACGACTTAACGTGGCCCAACAGCCCGCCATTAAACACTTTGACCAATCGCATCCATAGTTACAAGATACTTTCAAAGTGCTAATCAGAGCACAATAAGTCTTAGCTCTGCCAGAGCACACAAGTGGCTCAAGAGGGGGCACTGCTTCAGAGGAAGTTACACTAGACGCGGCGGCGGCGGCGCGGACCGGGCGGGCGTCGCGTACCGGCAGACGAGGCAGTGCACCTGCCAGTCGGCCACCTGACAGGGTCGGGAGCAGTAGCGCGTCTTGCAGCGGTGGCAGTGGCCGGCCGTGGGCGTGGCGCACACGGTGCAGGGCAGCGGCGCCAGCCCGCTCAGCCGCGGCTCGTAGATCACCTCGCTCTGCCGGACACGGCGGCGGGTCAGCTCACGCTCAGCCGCTCGTAACGCTGGGTCGTGTCACATCAGGACGGCGAGCCACGCGCGATCGCCTCCCGCCGCGCGGGGTGTCACGTCCTCGCCGGCGGGCGGGCTCACGGTTGGTGACAGCCGTAGGTGCGGCCTGGCCCCGTGCGCGGGCGTTCCTGGATCGCGGCGACGCATCCCGACTGGTCACGTCATCATCTCATCACATTCGGTCCATCTGGCGTAAGTGTGACCGCTCAGTCCATTCAGTTCGCCACTGCCGGGACGAACATTCACGAACGACGAGCCTCGAGCTGGCTGGGTTTGCGACTGCGCGCACGTTTAGTTCCCATCTTCCCAGCATGATATCCATAACACGTGGACAGAGCATTCTGCGAGCACTACATCGCCGCTACTACACTGGCTGACCGTAAACTCAGACAGAGTCACGCGTCAGCCCAGAAAGGCGCGCCCGATATACCTCGCCGTACGCCTTCTCAGGCCTGCGCGCCGAGCTGGGCGGTGGGCCATTGTCCATCACCATCGAACTTCGGAACTGGTCCCTGGAAAAAACGCAGTGGGCTTGTACGCTCAGGCAGGACAAGACAGTCTTGAAACCACGCCAATGCCGAGACCATGAACGGCTAAGAGCACCACTTCTGTGAGCACCACCTAAGACTTCCCAGCGTCACGTTTTCCTCCACTGTGGAAACCACGCCCATGGCCCATGACACCATGCCCACGGCCCATGCCCATAGCCCATACGGCCCATGGCCATGGTAAGGTTGCCCACACATCCAATTTTCTCACAAACCCACGCCACAGATGCTTTGCCGCAATCACTAAGGATGGAAGAGTGACAATGTTTTATTTCAGAGTGAATGCAAAGGCAGCACCTGGAGCCATTCCAGCTCCTAAACATCCGTTCTTTTGGGAGCCGCACCCAAATCCGGGAAAACTGCACTGAAAACAGCAATGTTAACCAAACCAGGCGTTCATGTCATGTCATTGGGGTTTTACGACGCACTCAGCTGCTGAGGCTATATGGCGTCACCTGCCTCTAACGCTGGCAGGAAGGGCGGGCACCGCGGGGAACAAATCATGTGTTCATTTCATACCATCCAGCAAATAGCCAGCAAAACTTACACTAGCTCAGAGATTTCCGCTTCGTACTTGTCGAACTCGGAAATTCTGGCCCTCACTTCCGGTTCAAGCTGAAATGACCGATAAGTGATAGACGTGGCCCAACAATCATATCACAAAGGACATGCAGATTCAAAAACCAATGCCGCAGGCCGCTCCAGAAAAGCCTCGATAATCTTGTCTTGCTCGTGTCTTCAGCATGGGGCCACTAGCCGGGATCGGCCCCATGCGTGTCCCGATCGGGGGGAGCTCACCTCGCGGCTGAGGCTATCCGGATCCAGGAGCTCTTACCGCCTCACGATTCGGGCTCTGGTGAGTCGAGAGAACCCTCCACCTCCCGGTCACGTCCACTCGGACGGGAACGGCCTCACATCCCGGTCCGGTGTGTTCGGGTGGACAATCGGCTCCTGGCGCCCGACCCGGTGTTCGAGACGATAGGGGGTGTGCCTCCCTATGTCTACCGGCGCCGGGGAGATCTCCTGCCACCTGGCCCCATGTTAGAACAGGAGGGGGAGTCCCCCGTGTCCACCGATACCGGGAAGACCCCTGCTACCTGGCCCTGTGTTCGAACAAGGGGAGACCCCTGCCACCTGGCCCCATGTTGGAACAGTAGGGGGGAGTCCCCCGTGTCTACCGATACCGGGAAGACCCCTGCTACCCGTCCCTGTGTTCGAACACGGGGAGACCCCTGCCACATGGACCTGTGTTGGAATGGTAAAAGGAGTCACCCCATGCCTACCAGTGCCTGAGAGACCCTTACCGCTTGGCTCTGTGTTCGCTGCGGTAGAGGAGTGCTCCCACCCGCTGTCCGCTGTTGTTTGAGACCCCTACCTCGCAGTCTGCAGCCGCCGTGTCGCCGTGTCGCCGTGCTTGGCGCACCCTGCGCACCGCGCTCGGCTCGTTCAGGCGGATGGTCCAGTGGAACGGCGGCGAGTCGTGCAGGTTCGCTATGGCGGCCGCGCAGTGCCTGGCGACGGAGCAGCGCGATCGTCACCGAGCGGCACCGTCGCCGGCCAGCACGCGCGCGATGGCAGCGGGCGGCAGCTGGCGTGCACAGCGGGCGCTGGCCAGTGGAGCTGATGAGCGCCTGGTGTTAGGAGAACGACTGAGGCGATGGGGCTGGATGTGCTGCAACTGAAGGGCTTGAGAAGAAAACAAAGGGAATGCTTCAGAGAGTGGTCGTACTGTGACATGAAAGCAAAGTAATGAGAGCACACCATGGAGACCCCAGAAATTGACCAGACAGTCATCAGCAATAAGTAGCATACATTTTGTCTGGTACCAGCTCCCATGAATCCAAAGAAACATTATGTCCAGCAGCAAACAAGACTCAGTTTAGCTGTATCCCTGTCTGGCAGCACTCACCCACCCAGTCATTTCTCAAAGCTTCATTAGGTGAAATGAACTGAGCTTGATCATTAACCTCATCTCTGCTCCATGTAACACACCCTGATGCATATGACAGGATTTAAATCTGCCACATATAGAATCAAAGCATTAACTGAAAGCCACAGGAAGGGGCAAAATTCCGCTACATGCTCCAGACTACTCACCAATAATGGGCCATCTTGACAAAAGCCATTGGCAAGCCAGTCTTGCTCATGACCACATTGACATTCTGCACTGGACCAAATTGCAGGAACTGGTCCAAGATCACCTCCTGCAATGCAGCACAGGCATCAGAATGATACTGGGTTGCTTTTGCACTCTAGCTACAATGTCATTTGCAGGTCACAAGGGCAGATTTGTCAGCAGCTCAACAAATGCTTACAAATACACATTTTGGAACAACATAAACTGGACCCATGTTGTAAAAATGTATCATAAGGTACAACAAAGAATGTTGGCACTCAGTAATTCAAACATGCCAAATTATCTCACCTTTGTGATCCTCCGGTCAAGTTTATACACCAGCAGGCATCCAATGTAGGATGAAGGATCATCTCTCTTGTCCATGCTTCTTTTTTCTTCTAGCTTCACTCAACAGCCTGACTCCTGGATAATCTCACTCAATTACTTGGCCCCTGAAAAATCTATTGCAATGATGTAATATCACTATTGCATGTGATGCAATAGTGAGCTTTGAGCCCAATAGAACACCAATGTCACGGATCCGATCTTACCTGCCCAATCTGATCCGCTACTTAGCCACTACCACCTACTTGCCGGTCGCATTTTATTATAACGCAACCAGACCCGCCAACTGATGGCCCTACGAAGGTACAGAATACGCGTAAACATGTCCGTCTCAAATAACAGACGTCAAACTCACCCTCCACAAAACAACGTGGGCTAACTTCATCACCTCCTCAAGCACTTATCCACAACATTCGACACTGGCAATGAACTACCGCCCCACACAGACCATCCGCGGAACCCAACCAACACATGGCACGGCGCCAACAGGCGCGCCGCGGGCGCTGTGTGCGCCGTTTCGTTTACAGCGCCTTCTTCGTCTGACGTCAATCCACATGCGATTTTTCGCGATTGATTACAATTAAAATGCTCTGAAGAATACCGTTATGCGTATGTTGATAAAATAAGCAAATATTTCAAATTACATACCAAACTTGTGATCGAGTTCTCAAACCAGCTCAGAATGAGCGATCATGATTTTGCTGTACGAAATTAATTACGTCGCGTAATATCCGATGCCTTCCGCAGGTTTTAAAGACAAATTGCAATTCTACAGCATTAAATAAGCAGAGTATGCATTCAGTACCTGAGAATGGATTGAGTTACCTTACTGGCCTAATAAAAGTCAGGCAATAACCATGCATTGACAACAGAGAGCCATTTGCCGTTGGTAGTACATTTTGACAGCAGATTAGTGTGCACATAAGACATGCTTTGAAAAAAGTTAACCTTGGTTTGGCGGAAGTGTGTAAAATATCATCCTTGCACTGGTTGTGTTGGCGTAGGTGGATGGGAATTGCATGGGGTGAGTGCGCGTGCTGGGGGTGTGAAGGGGACGTGGGCTAGATATTGTGCTGTGCGAGTGGTTGAATATGGGGCAAGTCGGAAGATAAGAGAGAAGATACAGTATAAGGTGGGCACAGCCGCGAGGTGTGTGGGCAATGAGCATGGCTTTGGTGTAGCTCTGCTACTCGCTGTTGGTGCGCCCAGTGTAGCCTTGGAGGGCAAAAATTCATGCTGCATTGAACGTGTTTGGCATAGTAGCAGTTATCTTAGTGCATGTGCGCTGTAAATCTGCATGCTTAGGGTTTGGTGCGATGTCAACCCATATTTTGTGGCATTGGGAGACAAGTAACCAATGTTTCAAAGCAGTTTGACGTTGCAAAGGTGGTTTCAGGCAGAAAGCTCCAAAAAGTCAGGGAAATAGTATGCAAATTCTGTATAGCATGGCTTTGCCTGAGTGCAGTGCACACAAGCAAGAATTTCATGGTACTGATGTCACTTGGATTTTTGATACGATAGCCAGCTTTTGCTGCGGACTGGGTATGGCCCACCATCCTGACCTAAGTTCATCCAGCATTGATAAGGTAAAATATTCCTATATCATTGCAAGCACCAGGGTGGCATAATTGCTGTTTACTGATGTTGCATTCCAGAATTAATCATGACCCAGACAAGTTTGCTGTTTGTCCAAAGTTCCATAAGATGCCATGCCTAGAAGCTAAACAAGCTTCAAGCTGTGACCCATGTCAGAAGGAATACCTTAAGTATTAGGATTGATAATGACTGGAATGCCCATCCCCCCAGTGTGTTTGCTTCCAATATACAAAGCCAGTTCAAATTTATCCTAGGCTCATACTTGGTACACCTCATGGTGCTCCATGTATAAATTATATAGTATAATAAACACCATTATTTCATGTGGCACAGTGCACAAAATAATATTCCAGACCAAGTTTGATGTAGTTTAACCAGCCAGGATCTTGATGGGAGAGGTGCAAACAAGGCAAGTGGTTTTCTAAGTGCTGTACCTGATAAGGTTTGGTAAGGTAAAATGGTGTGCTTTGAACAGATAAGGCATACTGGAAACTGCTTTCTGATCAAGAAACTTGTGACCTAGCCACCATCCAGGCTTATCTCATAGCCAGGTTGTTATTGAATTTCATACCAAGCCAAGTTTGAAAGGAAAAATCAAAAGCTTTTGTATTTTGTATCCATGCACTGGTCTACTCAACATATGGTAGTGTTTTTCCAAGCCATTGCATATTGATCATGATAAATTACATCTGCAACACACATTAATGGAGAGGTGTTGATACTTTGGTGTGTCTTTAAGATCCTCAGTGACAGCATGCAAATTTAACTAAATTTGGAAGGATTGCAGTGGCTAAACAGGACATTGAAAAACAGAGGTACTGGGTTTGTATCCTGTGCTGTCTCTCATTCTGAATATGCTAAGTTGCGGGCAATGCCATGTGGCCTCAGCAGCTGTGTGTGCCAAAGCCCTTATGCTGAACTCCAGCAGCTACATCACCCACTATCATGTTTTGTCAGAAGTGAGCAGGAAATCAATATTTTCTCTGTGACAAGAATAATGAAGTTATCACTTTTGTGATAGATGAGATCTATTTTGCAATTTGATGCTGATATAGGTAATTGTGTGCACTCCAGGGTGCAATCCCATACCAGCATGCTGTGTAAATGCAAGTTGTGCTGTTGGTGGACAAGTCACCAATTAAGTCTACATTTTGTCAAAATGCTGTAGAGGTACCTAGGAGTTGAGATGCAGTTTTGGGAATTTTAATATTTTAGATACAAGCTAAGCCAAGGTATCATACATTTTCCAATGAGGCCTCAGGTATGAAAAGCAGTCTGAAATGTGCAAAGCCATAAATTTTCTACAGATTAATAGAAGTATTGAAGTTAAGAAAATGGGTATGTGTACTGGAACCAGAAATGTCTTTATAGGGGATCAGGCATGCCAATAATACATTCTGGCACTCATTTGTTTCAGCCAGGTGGATGTAAGTTAGTTAGCTGTCTCACCATTATAGTGGGTGGATGGAAATCCTAACACTATTATGGACTTAAGCTGGGTCTTGCCTGGTGCTTTAGTAAGCTGTCTCACCATTATAGTGGCTGGATGGAAATCCCTAACACTATTATGGACTTAAGCTGGGTCTTGCCTGGTGCTTTAGTAAGCTGTTTCACCATTATAGTGGGTGGATGGAAATCCTAACACTATTATGGACTTAAGCTGTGTCTTGCCTGGTGCTGCCTGGTGTTGCCTGGTGCTGTGAATTTTAACATCAGCTATGCTGTGTGCAAGGATAAACTGTTCTGGAGTGGACTGTGCATGCAACCCTGGCTAAAGGCAAGACATGTGGCTCAGAAGTTGTCGTGAATTGGCATTTTGTTCACCTTTGTGGAGCTATGAAGTCTTGTTTATGGCATTGGAGGTCTTGTTAGACTATCTGGCAATGTCCTTTTTCAAAAGTTTATAATCCAGGTATGTTTAGATGTTTATGATTCATGCACAAACATGCAATGGAATTATTTGAATATTGGCTGGCTTTGGGCATGGCAAAACATTGTTATTTCAATTGATGAAATTGATAAGTTTGGGGCATTTGATTTTTGGTAACTGAAACCAGGGAATTACAAAAAGTCAACACTTTTGGTCCATATTGGTTACATAAACTGGGTCATGCACCCATGCAGTTTTTATCACCCAGGTTCTCTTGTTGTTTTGAAGTGTGATTCTGTAATGCTTGCTAGTAAAGATTTTGACCTGGTTTTGACTTGTATTCTTCAGTTGTTTTTTTTTGCATTGAAGAAATTTTATGTTTTCTATTGTAATTTCATATGAGAGGAAAAATTGTGCTGACATTGCATTGTCACAGAGTAAAGCAGGTCATAAGGAAGTGCCTTGTAAATGTGTGAGCAGGGCTTAAGAATTGTCCATGCCTGTTTACTCAGAGGTTAAGTCTGGTAAGTCGTGCCTGGCCGGATGGGGCCGGGCGGCCGACGCCATCATTTCCGCTAGCGCGGCCTCAGGACCTGGCCAGGCGCCGCTCGTAAAAACCGGATCGTGTAAACTACCCACAGACCTGTGTGCATGTTTTCAGCAGGCCACGATGAGCCAGGCTCCAATTGGAGACAGCCAGGATGGTCTGCCAAACACACAGGACGTCACGGATGTCGACGCTCTGTGCTCGGAGAGCCAGGAGGAACCACCGTGGAGCGGACAGTGTGCCAAGTGGGGCCGACTTTTCCCGGTGGGGATTCGAGCTAAATTTGATGGCCTAGGTAACTATCAGTTTGGTAATTATCAGTTGATCAGACTATCAGGTTTGTGGTTCCGTTGTGTTTCAACATTGCTTTGATGTGTATTGACATCTGGCAGAATGTTGCGGTACTTCGTGAGTTTTTACGTCGTAAAGAAAGCTTGTTTGATTTTTTGTCCTTTAGATAACGTATTGTGAATGTTTGTCATGTTATGTGCTAGCAATTTATCAAGTGGGCAAATAACGAAATATTTGCTAAAGCAGTAAGCAAATATACAGGCTCTCTCCAGCTCCAAGACATGTTTGAGGTGAAGGATTAATGAGTGGTCTTAAGACATTCTGGTTACATGCACCTGTTACACTTTGTACTGTTTACACTCAATTCTTACCAGTGACTGTTCTTTTCAGACCTGTGCAAGAATGATTACACCCTGGGGCGGGGGGAGACCTGTGACGTCGTCGTTGGGCTTCACAACCTGACAGAAAAGTACCTGCTTACCATCAGCAAAACACATCTGAGGTGGGTCCACACTGTTTTGCCTGATAACATGCATAAAACATTAAAGTGAATTTCACACTTAAGAACACCCATCAAAAGAGGCAATAAACATGTGGCTGTCTCTTTTCCTGACGTTGTAGCCCCATAAGATAAAAATGTGATATTTTGTATGCTAGTACACTTTTGTAAAACTTACACTTCCTGTCATAGTTTGATCATGACAGTCGTACCAGCTTTGAAATTTGCTTGTTGACATGTTTTTTTCAAAGATGCTATGATTTGTTAGGTACTGATGTGTTCAACTGTTATTTAATACAATAGTTAAGACTGCGCCACGATTCACGCACGGTCCGTGACAATCGCTTGAGACGTCAGGCTGAGCGTCCGCGGGTATCCACCGGCCATCTGCGTGCCATTCCAGAGTGGTGCGGGACCAGACGGCGAGCGGGTTTCACGTGTACGTGGAGGACCTGAGCTCGAACGGCACCTTCGTCAACGGCGAGCTCGTCGGCCGCGGTAAGAAGGTGGCGCTCAAGAACAACGACGAAATCTCTCTATCGATGAAAACGCTCAAAGGTGAGTCGGTGCGTTCAGCGCGGAGCTCAAGGCAGGCGCGAAGTTCTCTGATTGCATTTACTAACTTGAAGCGAGCCGCTGGTCGTGCGGGACTCCCTTCTTACCCAAGTCTGCCGGTTCCCATGCCCGAGTCTTCCGCTCCGACCGTCGTACTTGTGGTTGTGGCCGCTGGTCGTGCGGGACTCCCTTACTCGAGTCTGTCGGCTCCCTTGCCCGAGTCTTCCGCTCCGACCGTCGTACTTGTGGTTGTGGCCGCTGGTCGTGCGGGACTCCCTTACCCGAGTCTGCCGGCTCCCTTGCCCGAGTCTTCCGCTCCGACCGTTGTACTTGTAGTTGTGGCCGCTGGTCGTGCGGGACTCCCTTACCCGAGTCTGCCGGCTCCCTTGCCCGAGTCTTCCGCTCCGACCGTCGCACTTGTGGTTGTGGCCGGTGATCAGGGCCTTCCGCCTCCCGGCATTGGTCTGGCTGCCGCCTGTGCGCCGTGGCTCGCGTGCTGGCCATCAGTGTGTGAGCGCACAGCGCCCCGCGGCCTGCCCGCCCGCGGTCACTGCGACGGCCTCCGGCAGTGTTCGTGTTCCACGACTACACGGACAACGACGCGGCCAACTACCCGGAGCAGCTGCGCCGCCAGTACACCATGAGCCGAGTGCTGGGCGCAGGGGCCTGCGGCGAGGTCCGGCTCGCGTTCCGCAAGGTCAGGCTCGGCGAGACGTGCGTACTGGCGGTGCTGTGAAGGAATGACGTATAATTTGTTCGGTTGATAGGTCCCAGCTCGGCACCAAACAGACCTTGCGGCGTGAAAGCCTGTGAGCTCTGTTGCATCTTTGGCGCATCAGCAGGCCATGCAAGTGCAATTCTAGCGAAAAGTGTGTTTGATCTCATGAGCGTAAACCCTAGCCAAGTCGCTGCTGTGTTTGTGTCGGCGGTGTCTTGATCTGGTTCTTCTAGCGTAGAAGACCTTGGCTCAAATATCTGGGTCATGGTCTTGGGTAGCGTGGATGACCGCCGCGGTGGAGTCGGAACTGTGCTGTAGCCGGCGCTCGTGCTCGCAGGGCACCGTAGAGAGGTTCGCCGTGAAGATCATCTCCAAGAAACGCTTCACGCTGAGGGGACAGAACCAGATCAGCCAAACGCAGATGGTGGCCAACGAGGTCAACGTGCTCCGGACACTGGACCACGTGAGGCTGCAGTGCCCGTGCTGTTTGTGGCTCGGTTGTAGCGCTTCCTGGTTTGGTCGCAGGACTCCAGCACCGAGGGAGCGGTTCGTCAACAGTTGGGATAGGATGCAAGCACCTTCGAAATGAGTTTATTATACGCTCGCTGCAGTGCGACTCCCATGTGTTTTCCTGGCTTACACATATATCCTTTGCCGGTGGCGCGCTGCCCTGCCCGCGGTGTGAGCACCGCCAGAGCTGCCGTGTGTGCTCTACCGACACTTCGGTCAAGAACGTGGCCCCAAGCGAGGGCCGACGACCCCGCCTCCTCCCCCGCTCCCCGCCACGTGTTAGGAAACAATCGCATCCACCACATGACGTTGCATTCATGCAGCTGCCCTCTCTTGTTGTATGATGCAGCGACTCCTTATCCCTTTGTATGTAAAATTTGAAGTCAAGAGGTCCGCGTGGCGTGGAGCTATTGGCCTGTCCTTCTGCCGCTGTTGACCCCGTCCCTCCTCCGCTGTTGATCCCATTCCTTCCCCGCTGTTGACCCCGTCCCTCCGCCGCTGTTGATCACCGTCCCTCCCCCGCTGTTGACCCCTTCCCTCCCCCGCTGTTGATCCCATCCCTCCCCCGCTGTTAACCCCGTCCCTCCGCCGCTGTTGATCCCCGTCCCTCCGCTGCTTTTGGCCCCCTTTCCTCCGCCGCTGTTGGCCCCGCCCCTCCACCGCGGTTGATCACCGTCCCTCCGCCGCTGTTGACCCTTTCCTCCGCCGCTGCTGGCCCATGTCCCCCCCCCCCCCACACTGCTGTTGACTCCGTCTTTCTTCCGCTATTGATCCCCTTCCTCCGCCGCTGCATGTCCCCACTCCCCTCCCCCCTCCCCACTGCTGTTGACTCCGTCTTTCCTCCGCTATTGATCCCCTTCCTCCGCCGCTGCTGGCCCCCGTCCCTCCACCGCTGTTGATCCCATCTCTCCTCCGCTATTGATCCCCGTCCCTCCGCCGCTGTTGACCCCCGTCCCTCCGCCGCTGTTGACCCCCTCCCTTTCTCCGCCGCTGTTGACCCCGTCCCTCCGCCGCTGTCGACCCCCCTCCCTTTCTCCGCCGCGGTTGACCCCGTCCCTCCGCCGCTGTTAATCCCCGTCCCTCCGCCGCTGTTGACCCCCTCCCTTTCTCCGCCGCGGTTGACCCTGTCCCTCCGCCGCTGTTAGCCCCATCCTTCCGCCGCCGTAAATCCTCGCCTCTCCGCCGCTGTTGACCCCCGTCCCTCCGCCGCTGTTGACCCCCGTGCTTCCGCCGCTGTTGACCCCGTCCCTCCGCGGCTGTTGACCCCCGCCGCCTCCGCCGGCAGCCGTGTGTGATCCGGATCCACGACGTGATCGACTCCCCAACTGCCGTGTACATTGTGCTGGAGCTGGTTGAGGGCGGCGAGCTTTTCGACCGGGTGCTGGCGCTGAAGCAGCTGGACGAGTCCACCGCCAAGCTCTACTTCTACCAGATGCTGCAGGCTGTGCGTTACCTGCACCAGAAGGGCATCGCGCACCGGGATCTGAAGGTAAGTGGCGCGACGCTAGGAAGTGAGCGTGGGCGTCGCTCTGCCCGGGGCACTGAGGGAGAGGGCGGTGGCCGCCGGCAAGCGGACGGGGGTGTCTGCAGTGTCCGGCATGTGTTACATTGCGTCGGAAACTTTGTGCTTTGAATCCGGACGTGGGGACACTGGACGTTTTGATAATGGCTTGACTGGCTAGCCTTACTTGGTTATGAACAGATACCATCACTTTCGTTCTGAAACAGACTTAAGGGAATGTTGCCAGTCCCGTTATTTTTGACCGTCTGACATTCCTTCGTCGGGCCTCTCTGAGAGCCCCTGGTTCTGAGCTTGCCACTGTCGCCTGTCGGTAGTCTGCGCTCCATCCGTCCCTCCCCCCCCCCCCCCCCTCCCACTAACCGCTGATCGCCGCCTTACCCTGCTCGCCAGCCAGAGAACGTCTTGCTGGCATCCGAAGAGCGTGAGACGCTGGTGAAGATTACCGACTTTGGCCTGGCCAAGATCGTCGAAGACGACGGGCTGCTCAAGACCCTGTGCGGCACGCCCACCTACGTGGCGCCTGAGGTTCTGAAGAGGCGGGGCGACGCCAACTACACACACAGCGTCGACTGCTGGAGCCTCGGCGTCATCCTGTTCGTGTGGTGAGTCCCCTGCCGCGCCCTGCCAGGGCGTGGGAGGGCCGGGAGCTGCGGTCAGGTCGCGACAGTGCGACTGCTCCCCTTCCCTGCTGCTGGTGAGCCTCCCGCCGGTTTGCCCCTGGGAGAGCGCTGCAGCTTCCGGGGCTGCGCCATCTGTCCGCGTGATAGTGATGATGTCCCCGCTGGGTTTGCGTGAAAGCTGACGGTGGGCTGTCGGTGCACGCCTTGTGCCCAAAAAGGCCACTTCTGCATACCACGCCCGTTTATGTCGGGCATTCCAAGGTCGTGCATGAAAATCATGCGTGGTGAGGGCCCATGCACACCGGTCGGGTGTACCCGATGTGCAGCTGTCCGTACCGCCCGCCGCCCACACCGGTGTCTCCGGCCGAGCGGCGTGGCCCTGCGCGTGACCGTCGGGCCCGCCCGGCAGCCTGGCGGGTTACCCGCCGTTCTCGCCGGACTACGCCGACATGCCTCTGCAAGAGCAGATCCTGCGCGGCCGCGTGTCGTTCGCGCGCCGCCAGTGGCGCGGCGTCAGCGAGCCGGCCAAGGAGCTGGTGCGCCGTCTGCTCACCGTCGACCCGGCGCGCCGCATCACCGTCCAGGAGGCGCTGCAGCACCCCTGGCTCCAGGTGCGGCGCCGCGGCCCGCCCGCACGCCCGTCCCGGCGACGGGCCGGGCCTGGCGGCGGACGGGTGTCCCAGCTGTGGAGACCGCGGACGCCGGGTCACCACCAGGCCCGGCCGGGTGTCTGCGGGACAATGTGCTCGCATCATTGGACACGTTACTGGGCACAACTCAAACGTGGGACGGCACCACCGAAGCGCGCCCGGCAGAGCCCAGGCAAACAGTGCATGGTTATCGGGATGATGCATGGTAGGAAGCGAAAGTGGTGGTCATTCATGACAGGGAGGTGCCAGGTGTCGTTCGGCGAGTTGTTTGGCGGGGTCAGTTGTACTCGTCAAACGGTAGATCATATTTGTATCGAGATGCAGCGGTCCGGATGCCGCCCGGCGGTGGTGAGCCGGAGAGTTGTGAGCGGGGCTGGAGAGTAATGCGCCCATGCTGTTCGTCGCTGCTCCGCTCAAGCTGGCGTGTCGTCACCGGCAGGACAAAAAGACGGTGGCGCTGGCGGACCGGCTGATGAGTCGGGGCAAGCGGCGAGCCGACGACAGGGCCGGCCCTCCCGCCCGCCGGCGGCGCACGCAGGGCGCCACCAACGGACACTCGCCGGCTGTCAACGGACACCCGCCGGCCGTCAATGGACACCCGCCAGCCGTCAACGGACACCCGCCGGCCGTCAACGGACACCCGCCGGCCGTCAACGGACACCCGCCGCCAGCCAAGAGAGAGCCGCCGGCAGAGCCGCCAGAGTGAGCGGCCGGCCCGGCGCCGTCGGCGGTGGGTCTGACCGCCGGGTCCCGTCGGGGAGGAGTTGCGCCGGCACGGGCGACGCCCGCCCTGGTGAGCCGTCCGGCCGGCGCGTCGTTGGCGGCCGGGACGGTCAGCCCACCGAGGTGTGGGGCGAGCCGTCCGCCGGCGCGGTGAGCCTCATCGAGCACCTGTCGCCAGTGCTGCGTCCCGTGCTGTCGTGCGGCGGTCGGAGCCGACCTGCATGGCCGGCGACCAGACCTCCGCGGCGGCAGTACGGACCGAACGCGCGCGCCGAGGGCACGCGCTGCGGGAGCGGGCACGGTCCGGCGCTCCGGCGCCTCGCTAGTGCCAACGCAGCTTGGGAGATTGAGCTGGGGCTGTGAGACGGACATGGCCTCTCGCGCGAGGCGGAGTGAGAGCGGCGACGGGCGCCGCCGCCGACGCTGAGCCGGGAGACGTAGTGTAGCTCGCAGATATGTACTTCTGCGTGTACTGCAACTGTACTCGAGACGTAGACGTAGTGTTTTGGAGACGGGTCGGTACGTTTGTCAGCCTTGTACGCAGTTTTGACTCGCGATGTGCCTCGTCATAGGTCCGGAGGATGCCGATTGCTGAAACAAGTTTTTGATGTCTTTATTTTTACTTCTTGCCCACAATCAGGAGTGCATTGATTTGACGTCGGACGCGAGCGGGGCCTGGACTCCGTTCGTGAGTACGGTAAACAATAAACACCTTTTTCGTATCTCTGCTGGCTCTCGACAACGCACATCACTACCCAGTCCGCACTTCCGCACTGTCCACGTACCAGCCACGCCAAAAGGGCGGCCACAGCACATTGGACGCGTAGCCACAGTGCGGGGCTTGCCGCTGGGAATGGTGCAATGTCTTAGGCGCGCGCTGACAGGTGAGGGTGCAAGAGGACAGCTGATACAAGGAGCATTTTCGCCCCCCCCCCCCCCCGCGACAGCTGGGGTGGTGATGACTACTAACAGATGAAAATGGTGCTGAGACTCAGCGACGGACAACTGGCTTCGGACATGGCGGGTGCAAAGGGTGTACAACCAGACGGGTAATGGGAAGGGCGCGTGCGGAACACCAGCGGACGGCACGAGGTGCTCTCGCTGGCTGAAAAAACACCGTCCGACGTCCCCCGCAACCTCCCTACCGAACGCCGCGAGCACAGCTCAGAACGCGCAGGCTGACGGGCTGCCCCACAACTCGGAAGACAACCCCGTATAGACGTTACTCAGATCGCAACTAAATACAATATCGGGTGCATATATATGTAATAACGTAATGACTGGATAACAGGGCCGCGCTGGTGCTGAAAGCCACAGCGCAAAACGGAAGATCATATCCAATACGGTCCCAAAGATCGCACCGCCGCCGGCCCGATCACTTGCAAGCGAACGCACCGGCGCGAGCGTTCCCAAAGGCCACGCAAACAGGCGGTAACCGTCCCCGGGCACGATATGGGTGGAATGTCTGGCACCTGTCCACGAAGCGGTAAACACGGCGGCAATATCCCACAAAGCGCGTCCAGCCGCGCTCCACGGCCCGGCCATGCTCGCGCCACCTCTGACGGGGCGGCGGCCTCCCCCCGGCGGGACAGCACTGGCGGCAGCCCGGCAGAGCCACGCTGGAAGCGAGCGCGCCAAGTCCTCGCGATCACAGGTCGCAGTCAGCAGCTGCGGACACATGGTCTCTAGCGGCCCGGAGAGCCCCCGACAGGCCACTGTGCCGCCCGGTCGCCGGCTGGCCGCCGCCGGAGTCATCGTCTCTAGCCTGGAGAACGTCTGCCGGTCCAGCGTCGGTCGAGCTGCCGAGCTGCAGCGACAGCGTCGGCCGGGCTGCCGAGCTGCAGCGACAGCGTCGGCCGGGCTGCCGAGCTGCAGCGACAACGTCGGCCGGGCTGCCGAGCCGCAGCGACAGCGTCGGCCGGGCTACCGAGCTGCAGCGACAGCGTCGGTCGAGCTGCCGAGCTGCAGCGACAGCGTCAGCCGAGGCCGCACACGCGCCGCGGAGGCCGAATCTAACGGCCGCCCGACTTTGACTTGGCAATCAGCCACTGCAGCGTGATGTCTATGTTGTCTTTCTCCTTGCAGGAGATGGAGTAACAGCATATCTCCCGGTCTTGGACTGCCGATAGGTTCCTGAAAACAACAGCATAGATTCAACAAGCCGTAGATCAGGGGAATGTACCATCTCCCACCCATTATCATGACCAGCCCATGTAATCATGTGGTCCAGTGGCATAACTGTATTAAGTGGGAAATCATTTATCAGGGTTGGGTAATATGCAACTTCAAAATAATGCTTGATCTTATCACCGCTCTTCCCTCTACTTAAATTAAGGAGAAGGGACACATATCCCCATCCCATGTCCAACAAACTGTTACTCCCGTTCTGCTCGGGCTCAGCCTGCACGGCAGCATCACCCGAGAGGGGGGGGGGGGGGGGTTGAGGGACGGCCGGCTGAGTAGACAGCTGGCTCACATGCGTTCGATGAGGCCCTTCTCGTCCAGCGCGTTTGGCAGGTCACGCTTGTTGCCCAGCACCAGCACGGGCAGGCCGGCCAGCTGCGGCTTGTCCAGCAGGTTGTGCAGCTCGTTCCTGGAGGCCTCCAGCTTGTCCAGATCAGCGGCATCCACCATGTAGCTGGCAAGAGCGAAAGCGATGGTGACGATGGATCGCCGCTTTTAAGTGCTGCGGCGGATGTGGTCATTTTGTATCGCGTCTGGTTACGGAACGAACTTATCATGTGAACATGTAGGGTGGCATTTGCATTCCGTTACGCGCATTGCCCAGTCCGAGTGCTCCGACCGCTGTCATACAGCTTAACTCAGAGGCTGAAGTGAAGAGACCGTCCAGTCAGTGTCCATGTCAGAGCTGATGTCTGATCCAATATATTATTAGTGTAGCCTGATTCATAGGATAGGTTTCAAGTCAAATGGTACATAGATCAGTGTCGAGGACAAAGTACCTGCCAAAAAAAACGCGACATTAAGTGTTCTGACCACTTAGTCAAACCTGTGCTAAGGTGAAGTGAATTCTCTTTCTCAAATGGTGGCACAGGCATCCCCACAAACAGAGTCTCATCCTTACAGTATCAACATCGGCCAGACTTGGAAACCTGTGCATTCAGCGCCGCGCACTACGGTGCTGTTCCACATGGCCTGTGTGGTTGGCTGGCCTGCTGAGGCCCACTAGAGGGACTCACACGATGGCGTTCACGCCTCGGCAGTAGCGCTCCCACATCGACCGGAAGCGCGGCTGTCCGCCGATGTCCCACAGCTTGATTGTCACGTTGCCCTTCGAGATCTTGCGCATATTGAACCCCACTGTTGGGATCATGTCTTCATTGAACTGGCCGGACTGAGGGATGCAAACAAAGCATGATCACCCACAGAAATGGATTCTGCTGGCAATCAGCCCCATTTTTTAATCCACCACAGGCTAGAAATGGTTGCTACATGGCTTGAGATGCAAGCTCTCTTATTACTACCTCATAAGCGGCATTAAAAGATTTAGCCTTGGACTTAGATTAAATGGACTGGATGATTCAGCCTTTGGTTTGACAATGGTCAATGAAGTGTATAATATGCTGTACTTAATTTGTGGTTGTTTTGATTTTTGTATGGATAACTGTTGATTTTGCAAGCTACAGAGAACTAATTGAAGACTGTATGGCATGGAACACTTAGAAATTAAGGGTATATATGCCAAACTAATACCCAAGTAGTGGAAAAGATATACTGAGGAGTTATCTTCTCTGAGGCAGCAACTAACAGCTGCTTATGTGAAGCAAGTACAGGCTTGTTCTACATTCATGTCTTGATTTGTAGTCATTACTATGTCTTAAAGTGTGGTTTATTTGGACAGAACTTCCTATACCATTGTGTAAAATGCATGTAACTTTGCCAACTGATAAATTGGCCAAAATCTATACTACTAAGCTCTTGGCCAGTTAACTCATGCATATTCTAGATCCAAAGGCTATATCACTAATTTTCTGTTATGGTTTAGTTTGCTATGGTTGCTGGCCTGATGTGTACAACTAATATTACACAAGGTCTGATACCATTAGCACTGCCATTAGCCTGAAAATGAGACAGAAGCCATAATATAAGGTGAGCTCTAACCTGGTCCCGAAAGAAGTGTTGTCCATTATGCACAGTAAGTTAGGCCAATATATTTTTTTTCTGAAAGCAGTCTAGGAATACATGTTTTGCTTTAATAAACAACATTAATTTGAATACTTTTATTAACCCACTTGCAAATTATTGCTGCCTTTCTTGCAAGCACTTGCCTGCATGGTAAACATTCATTTCTTGGTTTGGGTTATGAGTCTTATCTCATTATTCATACAATCACCATATGTCCACAGTATACTGGCAGTGGAATGTTGTGGGATGTTGGCAGTTCTACATAAACTACATTACATCACTCCTTTCATCACTTAAAATCCAGCTATCATTGAAGGTTGTGGCTTGGTTTGTTGGTCAACAAACAGCAGCACTGATTGCAAGATGGATATCCCTAGGAAGGTGCAATGGCTAAAGGAAAGTAAGCCATGTCCACATACGTCCACGGACTTCAGACTGCACATTCAAACACATAAGTCCAGAAGGTTACATATCATAGACTGGTGATGATGATCATGATGATTTGGGTTTTGCAACATGGCAATAACTTTAAAACTTGAATAGGAAAACATAGCTCAACAAAAAATATATCTCCAAATTGTCGCTACATTTAGCCACTGGTCTTAGCCAGAGAGTCAGTCACAGATCAATTGTAAATCAGTCAGCAACCATGACCACAACACCAGTCCGTGATTCAGACTAACAAGAGTTCAAGCCAGCCTTCAAAAACTACCTGAAGTCATATTATTCAGAACACAACAAGCTTCACTTACTGCAATAACATTCACGAAGGTCGTTTTGCCAGAATGCTGCAGCCCCACCAACGTGAGTTCCATTTCTTCCTTCCAAAACAAACTTTTTACCCAGTCCAGAAACTTATTCACAAGGGACATCATCTTGTACACCTTAAAGCTGAACAGGCCCAAATATATGTTCACTGGGCCCCTTTAATCACTCCTACCGGACACCCACTTTGCTACAAAGAGATCTACACAAAGAGATCTCATCAGTACAACATACACTAAACGTGAAGTCTGATTGAGCTTGGTCGATATTTGGCCATATTTGTCTCGGATGCGGCATTACCCGCTACGTTAATTGCTACCACATCCTTTATGCACCAAGGACAAAACAGCATGATGCAATATTGCCGTAAATGCCGAGAAATACGAGCGCATTGCAACGTCTGGCTTCCTGCTTACGAAAGCAGGGGTCAAAGATGATTTGTTTCGTTCGTGCAGTCTACTTGCGTCACTGCATGGGCTTTTGTAATGCCCGCTTACCATATTTTTGTATTCACCTTCTCGTGCACATAGATTTGAACTCCATGAACGGAACCATTGTCCATGTACCTGTGAGCGTATTTGTGATTTGAGTGATAGAAGTGATTGATGCTGGAGTGACTGAGCCCTTGGGGGTTGATATCGTTATGCCTGTCTCACAGCACTTCTTGACAACACCTCGCTGCTTGGTCCCACGCAGCTGTTATCAGTCACCATTATCTGCAAGTGCAGCTCGTAATGCGAGTTCCCAGTGTAGGTATGCACCACATAGGCCGATGAAAAATGGTGCTGAGGGTCTGCACTGGAACTGGTGAACATTAGCAACACGTGTGATGCGGCGCCTCGAGTCCAATTGTCAGTGTTCCTCCCGCAAGATAGGGGTGGGCCATGAAGCCCGGCAAGGCAGCCTGCACCAGGTTGCCATTGGGCATTGGCGTCGGGTCCGAATTCAACCGTCTTTCGAGTAGGCTGGACTTTCTGCGTTTTGTCTGTAACAGGTGACACTAGAACAGAACGAAACACCAGCAACATTTGAAGCGGGTTTATGTCCATGGACATGGGCTTGGTCATGCAACACTGCTTGTCGTCATTCTCTGCAACGTTGGGGCGCCTGTAAGAAGCAACCCTAATTTCTAGACTTCGCATCACTGGTTTTCTGGGAGTATGTATGCCTTAAGTTAAGGATCGTATGCAGTTTGCAACAGCTACATTGAAGTTTTGTCTGTCTGTCTACGTTTTGGTCCGCGTCACCCAGACAAAACAAAAATGTGGTTGCAACCAAGATAATAAGGCTGGGGGAGCACCCATGTTGTCTATAAGATCATCGGTTACCACGCCATGATATTTCATGTAATGCACTTTTTCGACATCAAGGCAATATATCATGTCAATCCAACCTGCACAAAACAAACCCGCAGTAACTATCATCTTGGTGACACACGTGTGTTGGCGAATGTGGCAGTTTATCACATGGCACATTAAGGACAAACCACGGAGAGGCGGGGTCGAGTACACCCCTTTTTGAGAGGTGCTGCCTTACTGGCACGCTTCAAAGTCACCTTTCCAGTCCATGAGTGCTTAAGCATACCATTCCATCGGGAAGATTTTTAGCGCCATAGCAATCATGAAATTGATTGTTGACCTACAGGTCACAATGTCCATGATACACATGTTCCATGCGCCTTTGGCTCAGTTAAATACGTTCCACGTGACCATATCCCCTCGAATAATTGCGTCTTATGTAAAATGGGCAAGCAATCCGTTGAGCTGCTGACTTTTTAGCGTCGTTATGAGTGGGTAGTTTTTATGCCGAAGATAAATGACCCCCAATATAATAGGAGGTACTAGTTAAACTGCGTTATGAAGCACGCACTAGTTCTTATTGACAAAACTCGTCGTTTGGGAGCCGTGGTCATGATCGCGAGTGAACCATGTAAGCAAATAAACCAACATTGCTCCTCAATAAATGGCAACGCTAAGGATCGCACGAAACCTACGTGGTTAAGCCGAAAGGTTTTGATGAGCCATGCCGCGCGCAAATTAAACAATGACGTACCACGAACATCAGGCACCACAAACATCACTCTAACATGGGATCAACGTAACAGCCACTTAGGCTTTCAAACGCGTAACACCTCATACATGGTGTTGTACCGAGGCTGCCCGAATGGCTAAGCCGAACAGTCTCGAGGACCCGTAGGATGTATAACGATAGACAGGACTTGCCAGCCAGTTTTCGTCACAACGACCAAAGTGTATGTCTAAGCGTACATAACATGACAAATTTGTTCAAACCAAATCCCAATGTTGGCGTTTATGTGTGCCATTTGTGTGTGTGTCATTGGGGCTTTACGACGCACTCAACTGCTGAGGATAAATGGCGTTGCCTGTCTCTCACCCTGGCAGGAAGGGCGGGCACCGCGGGGTATGGGCTACCAACGCAGACGCGCTAACCACTACACTACCGGCACCCCGTTGGCGTTCATGTGTCAGCCTCTGACGACAAGTACGAATGTTCAAATATCTTGGCATCCATACTGCCTTGCGTTATGCTTTCTTGTTTGCGCTATGCTCCATCATCGCGAGCCAGTCGACCATGCAATCCCCTAGCGGGACGTACGCTCTCCGCACACGTACGTCTCCAATGGATTTATTCAGCTTAACCCAACGTAGCATTCTTCAAACAAAATGACGTAAAACAAAACGTCGCTTTCGTGACCAGCTGCACGAACGCTTTGAAGGCGACCGTTTACCGAGAACACGTACACCACTAGGAAGACATGTGATAGGCAGACACGCGGCAGGAAGCATAGTGCAACAAATACCAATTTTACAGCAGAAATTAACAGCAGCGAAAGACAGAGCCGATCTCGAGACGCTGGATTCGCCGCGTGTCTGTAATCTCTTTCGAGGCTAAACTCACAGATCGTCTTCAGGGTTCAGTTTTAACAACGCTGTTTAGGTTGTGCACTTAAAGAAATAGGTTCCCAGTGGTTCCAGCACCTGTGAAAAACACTGGTGCACGCTGGTAAGATTTTTGCTGTCCTCACACTAGATAATGGAACGCAGACTCGGTGTTTCGGGTGGCCTTCGGCACAGCACCGCGTATTGGATGTTCGGATGTGGGAACCTGATTGGCTGGAATGTTCGCAATGCTCGTGCAATGTCCGTGATGCCTGACAGTCGCGGGAAGTAATTTTCTAACCAGATGCTTGGTATATGCCGTCTTAACCTTTCGGTTAAGCCAACTGTGCTCCTTGCAGTCTTCGGCGTAGAACCGTGTATCGGGTAATATGTAATATGTGAGCTTAAATTATTGACTATTTTGAAGCATTTTCTTACATTAGTGTTCGCGTGGATCCAAAGCATGAGCGCATCTTCGGTACATCAGGTTTTCTCAACATAATTTAGGCTTGCTTGATAGAGCCGTTAGGCCATAGCATTTTGATGCATTGAGGGTTTTTAATTTTCACCATCAGGACTCGCAACTTGCAACAGTTCTTTGCACTCATAGCCCAGACAAATGGGTTTTGAACGAATCAGCATTTTGTCTTCGGCTTGTAAGCATTGCAGCACGTCTTTTCCTGGGTGAGTCCGCCAGTCAGATACGCCGGATTACCTGTATATTGCACGATTTGCTTTATCGTGCTTGCCATCGCAACAGTGCATTCAACTGAACCTGATCGGTTCAGTCGAAATCCAACTAAATCCAACGTCCCAGACAAAATCCACCGGAATCGTCGCAAGCATGAAGGGCATTTATTGGTGATACCCTTATCCAAATCTTGGCAGCCATTTTCGCTCACCAAAGTCCAGCAGACGGAATGGAAGCTTATGCGGCATTTTTTAGAGAAAAAAACCGTTTCGTCACTTTCGGTTTCTTCTTTTTTTATCAACGAGTTACTGCCTCCCCACAAACAATACTCATCACAGTCTCTGTCAGAAGGGCATTACGCAGTCGCGGATCTGGTCGGATGTGAGCTGCTGGCAAAACAACGTTTTCACAGGTTTGGGGTGAGAAGAGTATCTGTTTGCTGCGGGGCGGGGGGGGGGGAATTTGGTGGTTTCTGGTGGGGATTGTCACATTAACATGCTAACGTAGTATCTGGTGTTAAGAATTATATACTGCAAGCGAAGCATCGGTTCCACGAAAAGATGATGACGTGTTCTGTCGGGTTATCACCACCTGACATACCAACACGCGACCACAGAAATCGACCTTCAGTCGCTCCTAGTTAGAGTTTCCCCAATTTGGAAATCAAACATGTCTGTAGTCAACGAAAATTAGCTGAATACCTTAATTTCTGCAACTTGCAGCTTGACATTGCAATCCATGAATCTAACCGACAAGTGCATTCCATACCATACGCATGCCTTCATCCGAGTGACTTTAGAGCTCAAAGGCCAACAACGAAGAATCGAAACTGAGCAAATATTATTCCCGTCGCCTGGCGTTTGCATCGGCGGTGGCCATCTTGCCCATCCAGATGTAGCAGAACACACGATAAACGGATGGGACGGGTGGGTGACGTTCATATCCAGCCCTGCAATCTCCAGGTCGTAATGAGCTGACAAAATGTATTTCAAAGTGCTTGTCGCACATTTTAACCACACAGTACCCAACACTCGTTAAAAATATCGATGACTAGTCGGAAGAACGACCATGACAAGCCTGTCACGACGCAGATGACGGTCATGCACGTCTGCGTCGCACTCGTTCACTTCTCGCAGCGCCAGGCAAATTGACAAGACAGGACGGCCAGTCAGGCAGCTGATTCGACCTGTCGGCGGTGTTCCACTGTGCTCCGTGAGCACTCCTCTGGGACGGAGGCCCTCCGCAACAATAACAGCGCAGGTCGTCAGCTGGCGGCATTGCCAATGACGACTCGGACTATCCAAAAAGCAATCATAATCACTAAAAACTATCGTAATCATCTCGAAAATACAAAACGGCGCATCTAGTGCGCGCAATTGGCCTCGGGCCCAATTTCAGAGTTAACGACGACAAACACGGACCCGTAAGGACGTCAGTGATTGACGATAGACAAGCCAGCTATAAATAGCGTAATCATTTACTGCCGCCACGACCTTTCTCTGCCTGCAGAGTTCACTGACGAAAATATACGTAGATCCGTGGTCGGTATTGCACGACGTAACAAGGGTGGTAACAAAATATAGTTATTGCCTTTGATTGCGTCTTCTAAGGCTTAGAGGTCACGCCTATC